TTTGCAGCGAGTACCCACTATGCTGCGCCCCCCAGCAGTCCTCGAAAGGGGCGACGGCTTTGCAGATCGCACCCCCCCAGGGATGGCGAGGTCTAATTTCAATCTGCGGCGAGTGCCCCCTGCGCTGACCTCCCAAGCAGCCCACGAAAGTGGCGACGGCTTCGCAGATCGCAGCTTTGCAGAGATGGCGGAGTCCAATCTGACTCTGCGGCGGGTACCCACTATGCTGCCCCCCCTAGCAGCCTTCGAACGTCGCCACAGTTTCGCAGATCGCAGCCCCCCAGGGATGGCGAGGTCTAATCTCAATCTGCGGCGAGTGCCGACTATGCTGGCCCCCAGCAGCCCTCGTAAGTGGCGAGGCGACAATTTCGCAGATCGCAGCGCCCCAGGGATGGCGGGGTCTAATCTGACTCTGCGGCGGGTACCCACTATGCTGGTCCCGCACGCAGCCCTCGAAAGTGGCGACAGTTTCACAGATGGCAGCGCCCCAAGCATGGCAGGGTCTACTCTGACTCTGCGGCGGGTACCCACTATGCTGGTCCCACACGCAGCCCTCGGAAATGGAGACAGTTTCACAGATCGCAGCGCCCCAGGCATGGCAGGGTCTAATCTGAGCCTGCGGCGGGTACCCACTATGCTGGCCCCACACGCAGCCCTCGAAAGTGGCAAAAGTTTCGCAGATCGCAGCGCCCCAGGCATGGCAGGGTCTAATTTGAGCCTGCGGCGGGTACCCACTATGCTGGCCCCACACGCAGCCCTCGAAAGTGGCAAAAGTTTCGCAGATCGCAGCGCCCCGCGCATGGCAGGGTCTAGTCTGAGCCTGCGGCGGGTACCCACTATGCTGGCCCCACACGCAGCCCTCGAACGTGGCGAAAGTTTCGCAGATCGCAGCGCCCCAGGGATGGCGGGGTCTAATCTGACCCTGCGGCGGGTACCCACTATGCTGCCCCCCCCCGGCAACCCTCGAAAGGGGCGACAGTTTAACAGATCGCAGCCCCCCCCAGGCATGGCGGGGTCTAATCTGACTCTGCGGCGAGTACCCCCTTCTGCTGGGCGCCCCGGCGGGCCTCGAACGTGGCGACCGTTTCGCAGATCGCCGCGCCCCAGGGATGGCGGGGACGAATCTGACTCTGCGGAGGGTGCCCGCGATGCTGTCCCCCCCAAGCAGCCCTCGAAAGTGGCGACAGCTTCACAGATGGCAGCGCACCAGGCATGGCAGGGTCTCCTCTGACTCTGCGGCGGGTACCCACTATGCTGGCCCCACACGCAGCCCTCGAAAGTGGCAAAAGTTTCGCAGATCGCAGCGCCCCAGGCATGGCGGGGTCTAATCTGACCCTGCGGCGAGTACCCCCTATGCTGGGCGCCCCGGCAGCCCCCGACCGTGGCGACCGTTGTACAGATCGCAGCGCCCCAGGGATGGCGAGGACGAATCTGACTCTGCGGAGGGTGCCCGCGAGGCTGTCCCCCCAAGCAGCCCTCGAAAGTGGCAAAAGTTTCGCAGATCGCAGCGCCCCAGGAATGGCCAGGTGGGAGGCAATCTGGCACGCAGGAGGAAGGAGCGAGGTGAAAGGCAGGAGAGAAGGGGAGAGGGAGGCGGGATGATTCGACCACAGTGCTCTTCAAAACGAGCACCCAACGCAGGAGGGCTCGGGCACATGATCAAAACACATTTACAAATAGTCACACGCATAATATATATATATATATATATACATATAAGATATATAGAAACAAAAAACAACGTCCCCAGACTATTGTTTACTATTTGTGAGCCGTTCTCCTGTAGAAGTGGCACGCCCGACTTGATCCTTATCACTCTTCAAACCCCTTTGCTCGGCAACCTTTCCGCCGGCCTGCACGGGCCGTCCATCTGACAGGAAACCAGCACACAGCACGGCCTGCATCGAGGTCGGGCATGTCCTCCTACAGGCGGATGTTGGAGGAACAGTCTAACATAGCCATGAAAACAACTCAGAACGACTCAACATAAACATTCAACGATGCCCCCCTGACTATGTTTAAACATTAGTTTCGCATGCTCCTCCTGTAATCTAGGGCTCCCAACTTCGCGCTTCGCGCTCCGCGAAGCGCGAAGCGCGAATAACTTCGCGCTCTCGCGCCGCCCCCCCAAAGGGAGAAAAGGAGGACGAGGAGGAGGGGGAGGAGAAACGAGGACCGCGAAGCGCGAAGCGCGAATAACTTCGCGCCCTCGTGGGAGCCCTTGTGTAATGGGGAGTGCCCGACTTGAGCAAATAGTGCTCCTGTCAGACATGGACGCCGTGTGGCCCGTGCCGGAAAAAGGCGGGGCAAACGGGGGCGCGGCGCACGTCTCGCACGAGAGAATATAAGCAAGGGCTCCTAAGTTCGCGCTTCGCGCTGCGCGAAGCGCGAAGCGCGAATAACTTCGCGCTCTCGCGCCGCCCCCCCAAAGGGAGAAGAGGAGGACGAGGAGGAGGGGGAGGAGGAAGGAGGACGGCGAAGCGCGAAGCGCGAATAACTTCGCGCCCTCCTGGGAGCCCTTGGAAATAAGATGCCATTCTCGCTGCATCCCCGCAACGCTTCACCGTACAGCCTGCGCTCCCGCGTGGGCGTGGCGCGCGTTGGCTGTTCGCCAGATCGTCGGATTTGGGCCAGCGCCCGAGGGGGAGCAAGACGTCGCTCTCGCGCGAGCGCCGCGCAGACCGTTCCTGAAAAAACTGCGCTCCCGAGGGGGCTGCCCGGCAGCTGCCGCCACTCTCGTGAGCTCTCAGGGGTCGCTTCCGTGGGTGCTGCCAGCTGCGCCAACGTCGCACGTTTCGCGAGTTCCTGGAGGGTCCAATGACGTGCGGGCTGCCAAAGATCCGATTCGTAAAAACGGTCACGCCAGTGTGGGTAACTGTATGATCAAATGTCTTTCCTGCCTTCTTCCTCCTGACCCCCCACCTTCCCGTTGCCCGTCATCGCCATCCTCCTCCCACCCCCCTCATCCACTTGCTTCGAACGATGATCCAATGAAGATCCTGAGCACGTGGATTCGGATGCTGCCCGAGGCTTCTGGGAGGGGAGCATCGATGGGTCTCTATGGGTGCTCCTGTGCGATCTCGCTGGCGCCTGGGGGAGCCTCGTGCCGGGCTGCTTGGAGGCCTCGTGTGCTGCCTGGTGGGGGTATCTTCGAGGGCGTCGCGGGGGCATCCTGAGGCCGTCTTGAAAGCCTCTCGGAACGTATTGGGGCCAGGGAATGGTTCCCACAGGGTGGAATACATGAAACGATCCTGGGCTGAACAAATCGCTCCGCCAGAGTCCAGGCCTTTCCCCTCCTCCTCCTTCTTCTCCTCCTTCTCCTCCTCCTCCTCCTCATCATCCTCCTTTCTCCTCGTCCTCTTCCTGACGATCCCCCCCCCCTCAGGAACCGCGCGGACTGGCGAAGGCGTTGAGGCGCGTAGCCCGCCTGCTCCGGCGCATCGCTGCAGAAGACGGCCAGGACACCTCGAGCAGGGAGGCGGAGGAGGAGGAAGCGAGATGGAGAGGGGGAGAGGATGGAGAGAAGCCAGAAGGGAGGGGATGGAGAGGAGGAAGCAGAGATGGGAGGGGAAGGACGGGGAGAGGATGGGGGGAGGGAGGGGGGAGGATGGCAGCGCCTGCCGAGGTCCCCGAAGATCGACTTCACCGGTGATGTTTGCGGGTATATCCCCGCCTCGGAAGGAGGGAGGGGGGAGGTAATGAAAGTGGGGATTAGGTCGGGCATGTCCTCCTACGGGCTGACTGATTTGGGACGGAAAATTCGCCGGCCCAACGGGCCAGAGGCGTGCTAAGATCTCCGGTAACTTGTTAACAATATTTCTAGTTCGCGCGCGCGGAGCGGCCCCTGGGGGCCCCCGGACGAAAAGTACCCCGGCAAGGTCCCGAGAGAAGCCCGGGAGAAGCCACCAGGCCACTCCAGGGGAGGGTATTTTTCGACACCCCTCACGAGGATCGTGGCCTCCGAGGGGGGAGCCACAATCGACTACCCCCAAGAGCCCCCCAAGAGGCCCTGGGGGCCTCCAAAACGCCGCCAAGGAGCCCCAAGAGACTCCCAAGAGGTCCCCAAGAGGCCCCCAAGAGGCCCTAAAGAGGGCTCCAGGGCCGGCGGCATGAGCGAAGCGATTAAATAACAAATAGTCCAGAAATGCTCAACAATAGTCGAAAGATACTCGAAACATCGTCCCCAGACTGTGTTCGACTCTTCGTGGATATTCCTCATGCAGGGGGACGTGCCCGACGTAGGGGCCCGACCACAAGAAGCCTTCCACAAGAAGCCCAACCCTGAGACCCGCAAGCAGCCTTCCACACGAAGCCTTCCACAAGAAGACGTCCACTGATTTTTGGTGTGTGGGAGCGTCACGCTTCCTCCATAGCAACACCATCGACACCCAAGAAGCCCAGGGCACCCTGGAGGCAAGAAGGGTGTTCCTTGGCATGGGCCCCCACTGTATTGCACCACCCGCTTTTCGCTGGACCCACTCCTTAGACGAGCGCGTTCCACTACTCGCACAGTAGCTACTCGCAAAACGCCTGGATCCGCCGAGGGGGATCTACGATAAATTACGTCGAAGCAGCCATGTATTTTTCGGGCGTTTGCGAGCAGGCACTTTGCGAGTAGTGGAACGCGCCCGGTCACTTCTGGATCAACCGGAGAGGAGGGGGGGCCCTCCGAGGCTGCTGGGGGTCCTCTGAGGCCCTCGGGCGTCGGCAGGGGGGAGGGTGGGCGGAGGGGGCGACGGGGCCCTCCTCCTCCTCCTCCTCCCTCCTCTCCTCCTCCTCCTCCTCCTCCTCCCCTCCTCCCCCTCCTCCTCCTCCTCCTCTCCTCCTCCTCCTCCTCCTCCTCCTCCTCCTCCTCCTCCTCCTCCTCCTCCTCCTCCTCCTCCTCCTCCTCCTCCTCCTCCTCCCCTCCTCCTCCTCCCCCCCCCTCCCCCTCCAGGGGTCCCCACTGGAACGGACGGGAGGAGGCGCGCGGGCTCCGCGCACCACCCCGCGGGGCGCGCCTCGGGGAGGGCCGCCTCGGTCGGCTCGGGCCGGGCGTCGCGCTCCTCGGGGAGCCGGGGGCGGGGAGCGCAGGGGGGGGGGGGGGGGGGCAGGCCCTAAGGTTAGGTCGGGCCTGTCCCCTTTCAGGGGGATCTTCGGCGAAAAATTACAACTACACCCAAAATGCCTCCAAAAGGTCAGAACACACTCAAAACATATTCCCCTGACTATGTTTTACCATTTTTCAAATAATTATGTTTAGCGAATTTTCTAGTTTTCGTCGAAACAATCTTCCTGAAGGGGGACAGGCCCGACTTAACCCTAAGATTAGGTCGGGCACGCCTTGTGGATGCCATGACAATGGACACTCTAGCACTCCTATCATTGAATTAAAAAGTGTGCTTATCATGTTCAACACATGTTCTAAACATGCTTCCAGCCTGTTTTTACATGTTTAAAAAACATGCTTGAACCAATTTCTGACACCTGGGAATTATTTGGCAGCCTGCTTCGTCTCCATTAATCGACTTCCACAAGGCATGTCCTCCTACAGGGGGATTTTGGGCGAGAAATCAAAAGCATTCTCAAACACATACTCCAGAGTACTCCAAAAAATAGTCGAAAGATCGCCCCCAGACTATTTTGTGGACTATTTTGGAATATCCCCCCCTGTAGGGGGGACATGCTCGACTTAACCCTAAGGGGGGGGCCTCTGCGAGGCAGGCGGTCGCGAGTGCAGCCCTGAACAACCGTGGCGTGTCTGCAAGCGTGGCAAAAGCCGCCTTACCTTGGGGAAAGGGGGGTGGTACAAAAAAGGACGTGCGAGCCCAGCCAGGTAATTACACGAATATGCCCCCCAGTTCGCGAGGCCGCCCTGTCACGAGCGCTCGCGTGATGCGCTCTGGGAGACCATGTGAATCGATGAACGCGTACGTCTTTGTTTCGCTCCGACTTTCAACGGTTTTTCAAGTGCGTTGCTGGGGGGCACAACGACCACGGCTTAGCCCAGAAATTTCGGCGGGGAAAGGGAGTGGGAAGGATGGGGGGAGATATCTCGGTGGGGGGGGAGAGGATAAGGAGATCGAGGGGACAGAGAGGTAGGAGGAGGAGGAGGAGGAGGAGGAGGAGGAGGAGGCATGAGGAAGGATGAGTAGCAGGAGCCCCACTCAGGGCCACACCTCGAAGCACCACCCTCCCCAGCACGACTAGGCCGCGTGCCCCTGTATAAACAACAAGCGTCTGAGTAACACACACACACACTTTGAGTTACCTGCGTGTATTGATTGTGTCGACGCTGATCCGCGGCGCTGGAGGCATCGCCAGAGAGGGTCCGCTGTCCGCGCGAACCTCGGACAGCTTGTGTTCATGCTGGCCGTGTGCCGCTGAATTGCCCCCCTTCGCTGAACCCAAAAGATGCGACATCGCGAGCAAGAACAACATTTGGAGTCCCGGAACGGTGCGGTGACAGACCGTGCGGTGACAGACCGTGCGGTGACCTCGAAATCCCCCAAGACCTCACCGCACGGTCCGTCACCGCACGGCCTTGGGACCCCGGAGGCCCCTGTCGCCCGCCCAAGACCGTGCGGCGACCCCGAATCCCCACCGGCTCACCGCACGGTGTGGTCACCACCCCGTTTGGGGGCCCCCGGAACAGCATCATCGCCCCCAACCGCATCTCTCCGCGGCGCTTCGCAGACCAGACCGACCTGCCAAGGCCCCATAGGGCCCGAACTCGGACGAGCCCGCCCCTTGCGGGAAACGCAATCCTCCTCCTCCTCCTCCTCCTCCTCCTCCTCCTCCGCCTCCTCCTCCTCCTCCTCCTCCTCCTCCTCCTCCTCCTCCTCCTCCTCCTCCTCCTCCTCCAGCCTCCTCCCCCAAAATCTCAGGCCCCGGAATCCGTGGCCTCGGAGCCACCGACCCCTTCCCCAGGGGGCAGTCTTGGGCTCCGGATCTGATGACGGGCCCTGGGGGCCGAAGTCGCCGGACTGAAAATCGGCGGTGGACAAACCTCCCCTTAGTAAACCTCTCCTTAATGAAAACTGCCTGGGACCGAAACCGACGGACCCGGGCCCGCAAAAGGGACGGCCGCGACGCCCTCTCGCGAACCGAGAGCGGCCGATTCCTCGATCGACGTGTCAGGGTAGGAGGTCTCTATCCACCTCCGAGCCCTATAGGGGCCGCAGTCGCTGGACTGAGAACAGCACGTCCTTGGAGATGTGGGCCTCCCTCGGGTCGGGCGAAAGGGGGGGATAGCAAAGGGGGGGTTTGAGAATCAGCTCGCGTAGCTGATTTTCCCGGCGCCTCCCGGCGCCGGAGGCGGCCATGTATCGAGGAATGGGCCCCTCGGTGAGGCCGAAACCAGCTGCATGCAGCAAATTTCGTAACCCCCCCTTTCCCAATCCCCCCCTTTCGCCCTGCCCGACTCCCCCCCCCGCTCGGCTCCGACCACCTGCCCCGACGGCCCCCGGTGCGCTTCGTGCCCGGCGTGGGCTCCGCGCGGCGGCGGTCCGCATCGGCCCAGTAGGCGTCCTCCTCCTCCGGGCTCAGGACGTGGACCTCGGGCCTCAGCCAGCCCAACAGCCTCCAGGGGGAGGAAGAGGCGGGAGGAGGAGGAGGAGGAGGAGGAGGAGGAGGAGGAGGCGGAGGAGGAGGAGGAGGAGGAGGAGGAGGAGGCGGAGGAGGAGGAGGACCAGCAGGCGCAGGAGGAGGAAAAGGGGAGCAGGGGGAGGACGAGGAGGGAGGCAGAGAAGGGATGACGACGAGGAGGAGCGGGACGGCGAGAAGCGCCGAGCAGGATGAGGAGCAGGAGAGGGCGAAGCAGATGGCATCTCCCGACGCCTGCGGGTCTGCCGCAGGTCTTGGAGCAGGTGTTGGGTGTCCTCGGCGCGCGTCCCTCGCCCCCCACCCCCAGCCGATACCCCCCCCCAACCGCCGCCGCTGTCGTCCTCGTCCCCGGCCTCGTCACCCTCCCCTCCCGCAGCCCTTCCCTCAGGTCGGGCACGTCTTCCACAGGTGGATGTTGCCAGAAAAACGGAAGATAGCCAAGCACGAATCACAGACAGTCAAACAATAATGAAAAATATGGCCCCCAACTATGTGTGGACTGTGTTTGAATATTCCTCCCGTAGAGGGGCACGCCCGACTTACCCCTTCCCCTCTCCTCCAAGCTTCCCTCCCCTTCCGCCTCGCTCCCTTCGGAAAGCCGGGCACGGGCTGCTAAAGCCGTGGCTGCTAAAATCGACCTCCGGGAAGCTGTCTTCGTCCTTCCGGGAAGAAGCCCGTTGACTGTTTCGCGTGTCGGCGGTGGACAGACCTCCCTTTAGTAAACCTCCCCTCAGTGACAACGGCCTGGGACTGAAACCGACGGACCTGGACCCGCAAAAATGACGGCCGCGACGCCCTCTCGCGAACCGAAAACGGCCAATTCCTTGATCGACGTGTCAGGGTAGGAGGTCTGTCAACCTCCGAGCGTGCCGCGCCTCCTTCCGGGAACTTGTTTTTTCCTTCCGGGAGGGCCGTTTTAGCACCCACGGTCTTAGCAGCCCTCGCCCAGCTTTCGAGCATCGGCGATGCATCGTCGATGTGTTGGCGATGCACTGGCGATGCATCGTCGACGTCGGCGACGCATCGGCGACGTCGACGCGAAGCAAGTCGGGCTCCGGCATCGAGCCGCACCGCCGATGCATCGGCGGCCCCATCTGCTCCGACCCCCTCTGGGAGGCCTAGTTAGGTGTCTGCAGGGCGGCCGACGGGCCCGCGCCGCGGGCGAGCACGCCGCGCGCGCGCGGCGCGAGTCGAACACTCTCCCCTAGAGGAAAAAGAGCCATGCACATACACCGGTTCTGGCCAGGCCCATCCTGAGAGCCCAGGATCGGTGCATACGCCCTCCCTACCTTGGCCAGGGAGGCATATGCACCGATCCTGGGCCAAGGCTGGGCCTCGCCAGGATCGGTGCACGTGCACAGTCCTCAGCGCCCGATCCCTGCAGAGGGGCAGTCCCGCCTCGACAGCAGCTCGGCGGCCCCAGGGCCCGCGCCCGCGGCCCCCCCCCCCCGAGAAGGTCGACGCCTTCCCGCCTCGAGGCAGTGGGCGGCGCCTCCCTCCTCTGCCCGGGGTCGCGCGCCAGCGTGGAGTATAGCGATCCGTGGATTTGGCGGGTCGGGCGAAAGGGGGGATAGCAAAGGGGGGGCTTGAGAATCGGCTCACGCAGCTGATCTTCCCGGCGCCTCCCGGCGCCCGAGGCGCCTATGTATCGAGGAATGGGCCCCTCGGTGGGGCCGAAACCAGCTGCATGCAGCAGATTTCGTAACCTCCCCTTTCCCTATCCCCCCCTTTCGTCCGGCCCGAGTTTGGCGCGCGGTCGCCAAGTCCATGGATCGGGGGAGGTGCCCTCTCCAGAATGCGGCCAGTGCCGCCTCGCTCGGCGGCGGGAATTCGCCATCTCCCGTGGAAGCGGGAACCGTCGCTAATCTTGAGCAGGGGCCGGCCATCCCAGCATTCCTATAGTCCGACCACGAAATTTTCTTAGAACCCAAAAGTGCTCCAAGAGCAAGTTTCATAACATAAACCCGATGTGATACAACAAGACAGGCCCAGCCAGAAATGTTCTAAGAACACTTCGTGGAGACTACAAAAGGTTCTTGGAGCATTGTTTGGTAGGGTTATTCTTAAGGGAACAAGAAGTGGCATAAACATAGAAACTCGGAGGTCCGCGCGGATTTCTCGGATCGGCGTTGGGGCCCACTGGCGGCGCCTCCGGCGCCGCCCCTGGCGCGATCCGCGCGCCAGGGAGGGGGTCCAGCGCCGATCCGAAACATCCGCGCGGACCTCCGAGTTTTTATGTTTATGCCACTTTTTGTTCCCCGCCACTGCCTGATAATCCGCGCCCCCTGGAAGCCACGTCGGCGACCGCCTGAGAGAAGCGCGCAGGCCGCGCGCCGCGGCCCGGCCTGCGCGCGCCCCCGAGGGCGCGCCGGCGCGCGCGCGCGCGCCAGCCGCTGGGCGCGACCGCGCAAGAGGTAGGTCGGGCGTGTCCTCCTATGCCGGCGGATCTTATCAGGGGGACGTAAGACCTGGGTACAGGGGACTCGGAAATCCCCGACGAGGTCGTCAAAAAAATGACGAGGCCGAACCTGCATTTTGACGAGGCCTCCCGCTGCAGACATCCCACGAAACTCTTCCTCGTCAAAATCCGAGGCGCGGTCGTCAAAAAACGATGGCGAACCCGAGTCCTGGCAAACCCGGGTCTTACGCTCCCCCGATCTTAGACGAGGCATAAAAAAACATGGTCGCAAGCATACCCAGACAGTGATCCAACATATTCGAAGCGTATACTCCCCTGACGAGTTGTGTTTCTTTTGTCGTCTTGTTGGGCGCCCGGGTTATCCGGGGTAACTCGGGTCCCGGGTAACTCGGGCTTGGATTCCCGAAAAAGGAACCCGAGTTAGCCCTGACCCGAGTTATAACCCTGATGGTTCGGGGCTCTGAGCAGTCCCCTTACGCTTTGTTTTTTTTTCCATCGTCTTTGCATGGAAGCATCGCGCATCCACCGAAGGCCGGGGGCAGCGCGCCCCGCGTGCGGAGCTGCCCGCGTCGTGTCGTGCCTGCGCGCGCGCGTCGCGGCGCCGCCCCGGCCTGCCACTGGTGCGCGCGCGCACCTCCCCCCCTCTTGCGGGTGCTCCCGGGCACCGCGGGACGCGCCCGGCCAGCTGCTCGGGGCCCCCCCCGTGGCCGCTGCGACCAGCCCTCCCTCCCTCCTCCTCCTCCTCCTCCTCCCTCCTCCTCCTCCTCCTCCTCCTCCTCCTCCTCCTCCTCCTCCTCCTCCTCCTCCTCCTCCTCCTCCCCAGCGCTGCCCCAGGCCAGTGCCTCCTGGGAGGCGAGAGCCCAGCATCGAATCGACACGTCGGATCGGCGATCGAAAGGAGTCGGATCGGCGAGAATCGACAGCCAGGTCGGGAAGAGTCGGATCGGCGGACATCGGCAGGCTGGTGTGCGTCCAACCAGAAGCCGGAACCCGAATCGGAACCCCAGGTCGCATCGAATCGGAATCGGAAGCCATCGAAATCGAATCGGATCGAAAAGGAGGAACAATGAGCCCTGACTGAAGGGGCCCTGGGACACACAAATAAATAGACACAAATAAGAGGATTCCCAATGTTTTCCTCTTCCTGCGCCCTGTCTCCCTAATCAAAGCTGCGCGTCGCCCGCCTAGCTTTTAGCGGAAGAGGTTCGCTCTCGCCCCGCCGACCACAAAAAAGTGTTTTTTCCCCTCCTGACCCCCCCCCACCACCACCGCCATCCCGCCGCCGTCGCCGCCCCCCCCCCGTGAACCAGCAGGGGGCCACCGGGCCGGAGCAGAGACGCAGACACCCGTGACCGCCGGCAGCGTCTGGAGGGGTCCGCGCGGAGCTCTCCCGAGTCATCCCCTGTGCCGGGGGCGGCGAGCGAGGGGGGGGAAGCGAGGCAGGGAAGGCCCTCTCGGGAGGCGTCGGGACTTCTCAGAAGCCCTCGCGCCTTCTGAAAGGCTTTTTGTGCCTTCGGGGATTTGGACGCCCGAAATGGGTACGGAAAGAATGGGTACAATGCCCAACAGCAGTTCCTGTCCATTTTGAACAGGGCTCGCTGTCCGCGCCGCCGCGGCCTGTGTCCATTCGAGACAGAAGGCCGCCTGCCCAACAGCGGCCGGTGTTGGTTCGAGACACTCACGACCGGTCCGCGCGGAGCTCCCGAGGCATCCCTGTGCTGGGCGGCGAGCGAGGGGGGGGAAGCGAGGCAGGAGAAGGCCCTCTCGGGAGGCGTCGGGACGTCTCAGAGGCCCTCGCGCCTTCGGAAAGGCTTTCTGCGCGCCTTCGGGGAAGGCTCCGAACACTTCTCCGGCGGCCGGGGGGCTTCCGAACCTTCTGAGAAGGCCTGCTCCTTCTGGATTCCCCCCCTCGCTCGCCGCGGACTGCTGGAGATCCATTCTCGCGGCCTTCGCGCTCTTGCCTGGGTCTTGGTGCTGGAGCTGCTGGAACTGGTAGGGCTCGGAGAAGAGGAAGCGCCAGCCATAAACAGGAACTTTTGGCGCTCCGCGCGGGTTTCATTGGATCCGCGCGAATTTCCGGGAGCGCTCGCCGCCCATCCATGAGCACGCATGACGAACGAGCAGCACGCACCCATACCCATAGGGGGGACGGAAAGGGGCAGGGGAGGCGTGCTGTCGGACGGGGCTCCCGCTCGAACGGGAGCGTCCCCCGGGGTCCGAGAAACCCCCGCACCCATACCCAGAGCCAATCCCCCCTTCCTCCGACCCCTCTATAGGGGTATGGGTCTGTGCTGCTCGCTCGTCCATGTCACCCTTCGACGCGCGCCTCTCCGGGGAGGCCGCGAGGCACCGACACCGCTGCCCCCCCCGTCCGACCACCTCTCCCGGGGCGCGTCCTGACCAGGATCTCAAGGCGAATCCAGCGGTGGCGACGAGGGCATCCCCGGAGCCCCCAAAAGGGGGAACGAGGGGCGAAGGGTGGAGGTATTGCCACATGCGAACCCTACCCCTACCCCCCACGATTTCTGAGGGGGGGGGGTTCACTTCGTTCGGAAGCTCCCGAGCAAAGTGAACCCCACCCTCTCCCTCAGAAATCGTTGGGGGTTGGGGTAGGGTTCGCATGTGGCCCGGGTGCCTCTTCCTCCCCTGACTCTCGATCCCCGCCGCAAGCCAGAAGCACGCATCCGCCCCTCCGCCTACCGGTCCTCGGGCCGCGCCAGCCGCAGGTGGGCCACCGCGGCGTGCGGGCCCGGGAAGTCGCAGTACTCCACAGCGACGGCGTGCTCCACGAACTGCCGCACCTCGAGGGACCCGTCTTAAAATGATTGTCGTTGTTATTATTATTATTGTTGTTGTTGTTGTTGTGGTTGTGGTTGTTGTTGCTGTTGCTGTTGCTGTTGCTGTTGCTGTTGTTGTTGTTGTTGTTGTTCTGATTGTTGTTGTTGTTGTTGAAGTCACATTTCTAGACATGATTCTTATTGAGCCCCCCCTCACCGGTAACCATTGTATTTTCTAGAATACAATGTTTCTACTGGGGCTCGTGCCCTACTCACAAGGAGAAAGGAAGTGTCACCAAACTACGCACCTGGCCCCTGGTTTACAGAAATTGCGGCTTGTGCCTGATACTTCCTGACGATGTATTCCCTAATCGCGCTCTCACGTGGGACCTCCTCACAATTTATACAGGAATCGCACGCTCGCGTGGCACTCCCTTGCAATTGATTCAAGCGCCGCGCCCTCGACACTCAGGAATCATGCTCTCGCTGTGGATTTCCTCGCGATGTGATAGGGGATCGCACTATCGCTCGAGACTTCCTCGCGATACATGCAGGACGCACGCTTCAGCAACCCGTCTGTCCCCTGTCCCTTCCTTCCATCCATCCTCTCTTCCTCTGCTTTCTGAGTGGCTGCACGCAATACATTTTGCAAATAAGAATCGAAGACGATGAAGGCGGGTATCGATGGTTTGGGATGTACGTGTTCACTGGCACGCGAGCAGATAAGAACGGACAACATCAACATGTTTGTTGTTGTTGTTGTTGTTGTTGTTGTCCCGCGACCCTGCCCGCGACCCGCCCGCGACTGACTCACCTGCGACTCACCTGCGACCCGCCCGTGACCCACCCGCGACCCACTCCGCGACCCACTCCGCGACCTACCCGCGACCCGCCTGCGACCCACCCGCGACCCACGCCGCACTCGCCCCCTCACTCTTGTCCGCAGCTGGGAGGTGTCACACAACTATTGCGAAGAGATCCCACGTGAGAGCGCGATTTCGAAGGAATCGCCGGGAAAGTCAGGCGGGAGCCATTGTTGGGGTAGTTCGCGGGACAGCAACCCAATCTGAGGCGCAAGAGTTTCCCTTGTAGAGAACAAATTAGGAACCCAAGGAGAGGCACTTCAATTGAACACATAGACGGGCACCAGAGGAGGGGAACAACAACAAACATTTTTTAGACATGAGAATTCAAACGGCATATGCATGAACATTTGGAGGTCCGAACGGATTTCTGCGTTCGGCACTGACCACATGTGGCGACGCCTGCGACGCCACTAATCAACCCACGAAGTCCGCGCGGACATGCGAGGAGAGGACCGGGGCGAACGAACGAGGGGGGGTGAACTAAAACGGGAAGCTTGCTAATCAGCGGCGGGGGCGGAACCAAGTGAATGCAGCAATTTTCGTACCCCCACCCCCCTTGCCCAAACGCGGAGGGTGGAGGATGGGGGACTGGCGTCAGGACGTTGGAAGGACGGAGGAGGGGAGGCGCCCGCGCAGATGAAGGGGCCCTGGAACACACAAACAAATACACACAAATAACTGGATTCCCAATATTTTCCTGTATTTTCTGGGTTTCTGTCTCCCCCCCCACTGCCCAAATTTTCCTATATTTTCTTGGGAGTGGATGATTAATTGTGTCTGTGTGTTTTTTCCCCTCCTGATAGATGGGGCTGGAGGATCGCGACGCACCGCCGATGCCTCGGCGAAGTCAGCACGGAGCATGCCGGGCGCTAGATCGCGCCTCATCGCCGATGCATCGCCGATGCGGCGCGTCCCTCCGACCCCACTGACTACCTACCAGACCACCCCAACCCAACCCGAAGACCCGCATTTCGGGTTGGGGGGGTTAAGGGTTCCACATGTGCATTTTCTATGTTTCCCGACCCCCCCCCACTGGAAATCGAGGGTACATCTGAGCCTTCGGGTTGGGTTGGGGTGGTTTGGTGGGTGGTGACCCACCTGCTCTGGCCGCGGTTGCGCGGCTCACAGAAATCGAAAAAGAAAAAACGCCGGAGACATAACTGGCCATCGCTCGGACGTCCATCCCCTGTGTTTCTTTCGGTTTCGTGCATGGTTTTTTCGCGAAATGATCAAGGAGGCTCCTCGATGGTCCTCGCCGAAGGAAAATTGCACACGTCCGAGCGATGCCAAGCACATACTCTGGCCGCATTTGCGCGGCTAACAGAAATCGAAGAAGAAAAAACGCCGGAGACATAAACTGCTGGCGCTCCGCGCGGATTTCTTGGATCCGCGCTGGAACGCGCCGGGGGCGGCGCTGGAGAGGCGCCGCCCGGGGGGGGCCCAGCGCGGTTCCAAGAAATCCGCGCGGTGCGCCGAAAGCTTATGTTTATACGTTTTTGTTCGATCACGTGCGCGGCCTGCAGAGGAGGGGATCGGATTGTGGATTACATTTAGGTCGGGCATGTCCTCCTACAGGCGGATTTTGGACGAGAAATGAAGCATATTCCACAAGTAGACAAACAAATGTTCAGACATGATACAAAAACGTGCTCCAACAGATGTTTCGACTATTTCTGATTACTCTTCCTGTAGGGGGACACGCCCGACTTAAGACTACATCGTCGGTGGACAAACCTCCCTTAGTACACCTCCCCGTAGTGAAAACAGCCTGGGACCGAAACCGACGGACCTGGACCCGCAAAAATGACGGCCACGACGCCCTCTCGCGAACCGAAAAAGGCCAATTCGCTAATCGACGTGTCAGGGTAGGAGGTCTATCCACCTCCGACTGTAGAGGGACACGCCAGACTTAAGACTACCGGACCGGGCGAAAGGGGGGGATAGCAAAGGGGGGGGGTTGAGAATCAGATCACGTAGCTGATTTTCCCGGCGCGTGCCGGCGCCTGAAGGCCGCTGTGTATCGAGGAATGGGCCCCTCGGTGGGGCCGAAACCAGCTGCATGCAGCAGATTTCGTAACCCCCCCTTGCCCAATCTCCCCCTTTCGTCCGGCCCGACTGTAGACGGACACGCCCGACTTACGACTACATTTGCAGGGGCCCTGGGACACACACATAAATACACACAAATATAAAAGGCTTCCCGTGCCTTCCTATATATTTTCTGGCTTTCTGCCTTCCCCCCCCCCCACTTCCCACACTTTCCCATATCTTCGGGGGCATCGACGATCACTTGTGTCTGTGCGTGTTTCTCCCCCTCCCGATGCATTGGGAGTCTCCGCGCACCGACAGCGCCGACTGGGGCTGCGAGAAGCCCGACAGCCGCAGCAGGCAGCCGGGCGGCCCACGCCGGCCCCCCCGGCCCCGCGCCGCGCCCGCGGGCGGTGCCGCCTGGGGACGGCCGAGTGCGGGAGGAGGAGGAGGAGGAGGAGGAGGAGGCGGAGAAGGAGGAGGAGGAGGCGGAGGAGGATTTGGAGGAGGATTAGGACCAGGAGGAGGAGGAGGAGGAGGAGGAGGAGGAGGAGGCGGAGGCGGAGGAGGAGGAGGATTAGGAGGACTTGGAGGAGGAGGAGGAGGAGGAGGAGGAGGCGGAGGAGGAGGAGGATTTGGAGGAGGATTAGGAGGAGGAGGAGGAGGCGGAGGAGGAGGAGAAGGATTTGGAGGAGGATTTGGAGGAGGAAGAGGAGAAGGATGAGGAGGAAGCGGAGGAGGATTAGGAGGAGGAGGAGGAGGAGGAGGAGGAAAAGGAGGAGGAGGAGGCGGAGGAGGAGGCAGAGGAGGAGCCCAACCACGCTCTCCTTCTCTCCCAGACCCCCTCGCATCGTGAAAACTCACGGCGGGAGGTGTTCGCTATTTCCGGCCTCTGGGGGCCCTCGCCGGGACTCGGGAACGTCGAAAAACGACTCGGGGCGAGACTCCGGTCCCGGGGAATGGGTCCAGACCTCTTAGGGTCGACGTCGTGAAAAATCACGACGTCGGGGGTCTGGGCTTCCTCCCCCTCGAAGGAGGGAAAACGCCATCAACGTAAACCGTTGGCGCTCCGCGCGGATGTCATGGATCCCGGCTGGGCCCCCGTGTTTCCTTCTTTTGCCTCCGTCGCCTTCGCCTGCTTCCCATCGTGCTCCTCCTCTTCGTCTCATGCCCATCCTCCCCCCCCGTCCCCCTCCATCTCCGCATCCTGGATCGTCGCCGTGGCCGTCGCCGTCGCCCTCCTCCTCCTCCTCCTCCTCCTCCTCCTCCTCCTCCTCCTCCTCCTCCTCCCACCTCTCGCCCTCCAGCTCTGTCCTCCCTCCACACCGCGCGCAGATCGTCCGATGTGGGACGCGAGCCTGTGCGATGGCCCTCCTGCACGAGCGAAGCCAACAGACACAGCACATCAACATCGGGAGAACGGGCGTGGACCTCTTCGGTCGGCGCTGGACCCCCTGTGGCGGCGCACACTGCTCCACCAAGCTCAGAAACCCGCGCGGACCTCCGCGGGAGGGAGGACCGCGGTGGACGAACGCGGGGGGGATAATCAGCTGGATGCAGCTGGCTTGCTCCAGCGCTGGGAGGTGCCCGAGGCCGCTACGTGTCCAGGAGAGCGTGTGCGACGGCGGGGCCGAGACCAACCGCATGCAGCAGCTGCGCAGCGCGGAGGGTTCGTGCAACGTGTTGTCATCCAATCTCTGCCGCGGGTGCCCCTGGACTTGAACAGGGACCGACCGTCCCGGCAGTCCTACAGGCCTACCACGCCATGTTCTCAGAACCCAGCATTGCTCTCAGAGCGACAGCAGTGCTCTGAGAACCTGGACCCGACACGTGTTCAAACGAGGCGGCCTCCGCCAGAAGTGCTCCGAGAACACTCCGTGCAGACCACACGGAAGGTTCTCAGAGCCTTCCCTGGAGGGCCTGCAGGCAAACCAAGACGCTTCGCCACTGCTCGAGGCGTGGCGGGGCCTGCGCGGTGGACGAGGACGCCGGCTCCGCCGGCGTCGCGTCCGCCGCGGCGCCGGGGTCGCCGCCGACAGCGGCACCGTGGCGCGGGGCGGTGCCCACGGTCCGCGCCGTGCGCTGCAGCTCGCGGTACTCCTGCGGGCGGGGGGTCGCCGCGCCGCTGCGGCTCCTCCTGCTGCTGCTCCTGCCTGCTGCCGGCCCCTGCTCCTGCGGCTCCTCCCAGCTCCCCCGCCCTCCGTTCCCGTCCATCCGTCCTCATCCTCCTCCAGCTGGTCATCATCAGCCTCCTCCTCCTCCTCCTCCTCCTCCTCCTCCTCCTCCTCCTCCTCCTCCATCACCATCACCATCACCATCACCATCACCATCACCACCACCATCACCATCACCATCATCACCACAATCACCAGAATATCATCATCGGCCTCATCCTCATCTTTCTCCTCCTCATGCTCCTCCTGGGCCTACAGCCCTACAGGTCGCCTTCCTGTTCCTCCTGTTCTCCTTATACTCCCGATTCATCGCCCCTCACTTCTCACCTGTTCTCCTCCTCCTCCTCAACCTCCTCCTCTCTCGTCTCTTAGCAATGCAACAGTAAACAATATGAACACTTACTTTCCATCCTCCCCTAAAGTTGTCTGGAAGATCTCCCGCCCCTCCTCGTGCTGTTTGCTCACACGCTAGATTTCAAAATCTGGTATGTTCTATGTCTGTTTTCTCCTACGTTTTTACAATCGCATTATCTTCGGCAAAATGGTGTTCCCGCTGCAACGTGGGCCTCATTGTCGGATCGGCGCTGTGCTCCCGTCGTTCAGAACGGCGCTCTCCCCCCAGCGTCGGCCATTTTTCTTGATCCGCGTTTTGCTTCATTGTGCCCCCCCCCCCCCCCGCATTTCTTCTCCTCCGCCTTCCCCTGGTCCTCCTGTTCCTCCCGCTCCTTCCACTCCGATTCCTGCTGATGCTGCTGCTGCTCGTCGTCTCGCCCCAGCGCGGGCCACTTGTCTGAATCCGAGACTCTCTTCATCGCTGTCGCCCCCCTCGCTTCCCCTCCTCCGCCGTCCCCTGACAGTTCTTTTCCTCGCGATCCTTCCGCTTCAGCTTCCGCAGCTGCCGTTCGTCCTCATCTTCTTCCTCCCGCTCATCGTCCTGCTCACACGTCACCTCCTCCTGCGCGCGCACCACCACTTCTTTCCTGATTGCTCTAAGCACGAAGTGTCCTTTCTGTTGCAGTCGCAGGCTGGTCGGCTATGACGATCTACGGCACGCGTCCGCGGACATAGTCGGGGTTGATCGGAGAGGACACGCGAGAGGACACAAGACCCTTCCGAGGGCCACAGGAATGTTAGAAGGCATGGGTCGCGAAGCTCAGGACGCAAGGGCACCCTTTATATGGCAAGGTCGACGTACTGATCAGTCTCGACTGTAGAGGAAAATGTGCGCCATGATTCAGGTTCAGAAGCATGCGGAGACCAAGTCAAACTTGGGCGCGTGTTAGAAACTTACACCTGGGGGAAACAACCGCTACTTATGGGGGGAGGCCCCGCGACAGCCTGGAAAGGACAGCTTGCCCCGCCTTGGATGGAGGGACCCTTGCAGGCAAACGTAGATTCGAGAGGCCCCGCACCTTCACAGTTGCGTGCCTGCCACACTTCTCACAGAATAGTACCTCACGCATGACCCTGAGCGTGTGCCCAGCAACGTATCTAGGGGCCAGCAGGCCCCCATGAAGCCCCAAAGAGGCCCCAGGAGGCCCAAAAAGCTGCAACAGGAGGCCCCCAAGAGGCTCCAGGAGGTCACAAAAGTGCCGCCAAGAAGCCCCCGACATGTTTCCGAAGAGACCCCAACGAGCCTCCCAAAGAGGCATCTGATCAACTGCCGCCAAGGCGCTCCCGAGAGGCCTCCAGATAGACCCCAAGACGCTTCCCAAAGAGGCATCTCGTCCACGACCCAGCCCAGACCGAGAAGTACCCCGAAAAGCCATCGGGTGCCTCCCAGACGTCTGCCGTTGGCCACGGGCACGCGAGCACCCTCCCCGTCGCTGCGAGCAGAAGGGCCCGCGGCAACAAGGCCGCCGCACGGGCCTGCAGACGGAGCGAGGCGATTCAATGTGTCCTTCTCGTTGATTAAGGGGCGTGTCGGTGGGGTGAGCCGGGCGTTTCGCGTAATACCTCCTCTCAGTTTGTGATCCTGGAGCTTGCGCCTTCCAGCAATTGCACGGATGAAATCGCACATCGTATCGTTAGCCACAAAGCCACTCATCTCAGAAACATTCCTAACACATTCCAACCGTTACACGGATGAAGGCGGGCCGCTTTCACCGTTTGATCCTCGCCGTAGCGCCGCGCACGCTCTCCTTACACATTCCCAACCGCTACCCGGATGGAGGCCTGGCCTTCGTCAAGGTTTTAGCTCTCGCCACAGAGCCGTGCACACGCTCTTGCATACACCCGGCAACTACGCGGACTAAGAGCGGCTAACTTCCAACGTTGGTCTCCCGCTGAGGTCGTCCTCGAAAGTAACCACCAGAAGTTGTACCTTAGGCAACAACTCCTCCGCATGAACTCTCGCTTCAGACATCCCCAACTCTGTGCCTGGAGCTGTAAATATCGTGCGCCGGCTTCCGGATGGAGGCCGAATGCTCTTCAAGAAGGGCTGCGGGTGGTCCCTCCATCGGCCTGCATGGCCCCGCCTCCTTCGGCATGGCAGGCCCAAGAGAAGCGCTCGCACACCCAGGCGCTTACCGTAGTGAAGAGGCATACGAGCAGGGATCTGCAGGGGGGGGACCTGGGGCGGGGCGATGTGTTGCAGCATCGTTGATGCATCCCGTGCTTCCTCCCTTCCTCCATCCTCTCTCCGCCCCCCTCCCTCATACCCCCATCCCTCCTCCTCCACCCAACCCGCCCGTCCCCGCCTGGCACGGCAGAACCAGCCGAAAAAGTGTGTCACCTGAGCATCGTTTACCCGATCCCCATCCCCACCAGCGTGGGCTGGGCCCACTGGCCGATTTACCCCCCTGATAGGGGGATATAGATATAGGCTGCTCTCGTCGGGTTTCGAGGGGCACATCCCCAACTGAGGTGGTGAGACGGTGGGGCTCGAGATGTGGATGAGGATGGGGATAGGGATCGGTGAAACGATACTGAACACCGCAGGCGCCCGACCCCAACCCCGCTCCTGCTTCAGCTGCGACCACCTCGCCTTCATCATTGCTCGCAGCGCCTTGGCGTCGTTCCGCACCGGCCACGTGCTCGGCCAGGATCCGTCCACCGCCTCCACGGCCGCCACCGCCTCCTCGACGGCGGCAAACTCGATGAACACGAAGCCGCGGGGCTCGCGCGTCTCCCGGTGGCGCGGGAGGTCCACCCAGCGGACCAGGCCGTAGGCCCCGAAGAACTTGACGAAGTCGTCGATGCCGAAGATCACGGGCACGCCCTCCACGTAGATCATCCTCTCATCGCGCGAGCCCTTGTCCTGAAGAGCGCAGGAACAAACGCACGCTCTCGGATGTGTGTCCGCGCGGACTTCGCAAGTCTGCGCCACATCTCCCCCCCACCGTCCGGTTCTCGGCGCGCGGACCGCGACAGGGGGCCTCGCTGGGGGCGTCGCCGTGGGTGCTGGGAGGGGTCTGGCGCCGACCCCAGACAATCCAAAGTCCGCGCGGGCCTCCGAGAGCCGACGCTTGTATGATTTTGTCACCATTCTTCGAGTCCTCCACCTGGGGGTTCTTCACGTAATCCCTCTTCACCTTGGTCTGGTCCTCGCTGAGCACGAGCATCTCCGACCTGCGCACCGCCCTCTGCAGATGGGCCTCTGACCGGCACTTCAGCGCCCGCACCCGATTGAACTGCAGGAAGGTCTTCAGCGTCACGAAGCCGTCGTCCTCCGCGATCTTACGGCGCATGAAGGCGTCGCGGCGCAGGTTGCCGTCGCTGAAATAAAACTCGAGCTGCTTCTGCACCCTCTCGAGCCACGCTGTGTCGTCCAGCCTCCCCGCTTAGGACCCCTCCCCCCTCCTGCCTCCTCCTCCTCCTCCTCCTCGTCCTGCCATCGCTGGCCTTCCTCATCCCTCCCTCCCTCCCCCTTCCTCCACGCCCCGACGGAAGCGGAGCCTCTGCAAGACGCCGTGCCCCTCTGCGGGTGGCTGCTGCGAGCCCTGGCTACCGCTCTTGCCGCACTTGCCCTTGCCCCGGCCGCCCTTCTCGCCCTTGCCGCACCTCAGGGGCCAGATACGTGCACACACGCCTGCCTACCTCTTCTCCTTCCTGCCCTCCCTCGGGGAGAAGCGAAGAGGAAGGGGAGAAGGGAGAGGGGAATAAAGGACCGAGGGAGAGGATGAGGAGGACGACCTGGAGGACAAGGATAGAGACGACGAGCAACAACGACGGCGATGATTTCGACACGGATGTTCATGCTGAGAAGGATGATCATGAAGCGCAGTACGTGCAGCGAGGGCAGGGGATCGTGGACGGAGAAGAAAAGTAGAAGCGAGCGGAGGATCGGGGGCGCGCAGACATGGATTAGCGATCCATGGATTTGGCGGGTGGTCGCCAAGTCCATGGATCGGGAGATGTGCCCTCCCCAATGTGCGGCCGGTCCCGCCTCGTTCGGCGGCGGAAATCGGCGATTGCCCATGGAGACGGGACCCGTCGCTAATCCACGCCCCCTTGATCCATGTTTGCCATCGCCTGAGAGGAGCAGGGAGAGCAGGAGCAGCGGCGGGCGGGTGAGGAGGGGGAGCACGAGGTCGAGGAAGCTAGGCTGCAAGGTCGGTGGGGCCCAACGCACCCCCTCTTCACCCGACACTCCCCCCCGCAAGGGGCCCAGGGACACACATATATATATATATATATATATATATATAGATACACACAGATCCCAGGATTCCCCTTATTTTCCCATATTTTCTGGACCTTCGTCGCCCCCCCCCCCCCCCACTTCCCGTATTTTCTCATCTTTTCCTGGGAGTCGACGATTGATTGTGCCTGTGTGTTTTTGTTTTCCCTCCTGACCCCCGCGCACTCTCTCGTCGTCATCCTGGAAGCCTCCTCCCCTCCCCCAGGTGGGGACGGGCGGCAGGGGGACGCCAGGATGGCGACGAGGACCAGGGAGAGGGAGGAAGAAGAATCAGCGTGGGACGGGGGATGGGACGGGAGATGAGGAGGACGAGCAGGACGAATAGGGTGAGGACGAGGATGAGGGAGGAGGGGGAGGAAGAAGACTCAGCAGAAAGGGAGTGAGGACGAGGACGACCAGGGAGAGGGAGGAAGACGCATCAGCATCAAAGGGGAGGATGGGACGGGAGAGGAGGGGGACGAGCAGGATGACGAGGGCGAGCACGAGGATGAGGAGGATGAGAGATGACGAGCTCGAGGCGACGCGGGCACGCCCCAAACGGTCGGCCGGCTGGGACGCTAGAGAGCTCCAGCCCCCCCCCCCCCCCTTAGGGTTTCCACCCCGGTGCTGCACTCCAAAAAAAAACACCCCCCAAGAAGTTCGACTCCTCCGAGGCAGGACATGCACCGACCCCAGGGGCACGCTGCAGTGACACGAAGCAAATCCTGGACCCTGGGGGGCCTTCCCCGGAGGTCAATGTTCATCCTCCTGTGTCGTTGTGTTGGCAGTCCCGGGGCCTGGGGAGGGCCCAGAGAGGCCAGAAACTATAAAAAACAGAGGGCCCGTTTCACTCACGGGCCTCGTTACTTCATATCGACCTGCCGCAGAATCCCAAAGACGCAGATCGGTCTCAAAGCCTTCGAAACGTGGGGGGACTTTTACCTGCCACCGTGCATTGTGCACGTTGAGGCGGGTCTGTCTGATAGGGTTTCTGCAATGTTTAAAGGCCACCCCCCGTCTCCTCGCACCCAGCCGCATGCATCGCCTCCTCTCTCCGAGGCCAGAATCCCTCGCAACATACAACATATACACGCTCCCGAAGCCAAGATGCGTCCAAGACGATCCAATACCGTTCCAAGACGGGCCACATTGAAGATGGCTTCAAGACGGCCCACGAGGCCGTCGCGACGTCCCAAGAGAGCCCCACGAGCCTTCCCAAGATGGCCTCGAGAGGCCCAACTCATTGATTCTCCGAAGCTTTTTCAGCGTGTCGGGTTCATGCCTTTTCGATCTTCCGACGACCCAAGACGACCCAACAGGCCCAAGAGGCCCCCAAGAGAACCCCCAGACGGCCCAAGAGGCGCCCAATAATGCCCAAAGACGGCCCCAAGAAGGGCCCTAGAGGGTGAATGCGAACCGACAATTCGAGCTTTCCGCCCCAAGATAGGTAAGGAGGCCCCTAGAGGACCTCGAGAGATAAGCACAATGTAGTTTCGACTGATTTATGGGTTCTCGCCTTTTCGAGCTTCCGACGCTCCAAGACGGCCCAGTAGGCCCCCAAGACTCCCCCGAGAGGGGTCGGCCCAAGAGGGCTCCAAGACGGCTCAAAAGGCGCACACGACCCCCAAGACAGCCCCAAGAAGGGCCCAAGAAGCCAGAATTCGACCACTCTGCCCCAAGAGGCCTCCGACTGTAGAGGAAGAAAAAACTGCATAAACATAATTTGTCGGCGCTCCGCGCGGATATCTTGAATCTGCGCTGGGCCCCCATCCCTGGCGCGCGGAACGTGCCAAGGGCGGTGCCGGAGGCGCCGCCAGTGGGCCCAGCGCAGGCCCAAGAACTCCGCGCGGAGCGCCAGAAAGGTTTGTGCTTGTAGCGTTTGCTCTTCTTCGAGACGGGCCCCCGCTGCCTCTCTCGAGGAGCTGCCACCTTCCTCCTCCTCCTCCTCCTCCTCCTCCTCCTCCTCCTCCTCCTCCTCCTCCTCTCCTCCTCCTCCTCCTCCTCCCCTCCCCTCTCCTCCTCCTCCCCTCCTCCTCCTCCTCCTCCTCCTCCTCCTCCCCTCCTCCTCCTCCTCCTCCCTCCTCCTCCTCCTCCTCCTCCTCCTCCTCCTCCTCCTCCTCCCTCCTCCTCCTCCTCCTCCTCCTCCTCCTCCTCCTCCTCCTCCTCCTCCTCCTCCTGGCCAGGAGGAGGAGGAGGAGCAGGGCCACACCAGGACAGCCCAAACCAGCACACGCCGGCGCGCCCTTGGAGCACTGCTGCGGCCGTGGGCTTGGGCACCGCCCCCCCCTCGCTCTCTCTGCGGGTGGAGCTCGCGGCGCTCTGGCCAGCAGTGCCAGGCGGCGCGCACGAGGGGGTGGAGGGCGGGGGGAGGGCTTCTTCGATTAACGGGCGAAGAACGGTATAAGATATACTTTTTCGCCGTCGGGGCTACCTGCCCCTGGGCGGCTGGAAAGTTTATACCCTTACGGTGTCACCGTAAGGGTATAAACTTTCCAGCCGCCCTGGGGCAGGTAGCCCCGACGGCGAACAAAAATTATGTTATACCGTTCTTCGCCCGTTAATTCGAGGGAGGCTGCTCCTTAGAAGGCGCCGGCCTCACATCTACAGCTAAGGGCCGCGCCTTCCAGGAGGCAGGGGTGCTCCTAAGAGGCCCTCCACCCTCCCCCCCACCTCTGCGCGTGGCTGGAATGCCTTGGTTCAGGGGTCCACGACGAGCACTTCTCCAGCCTGGCTGGTAGAGGCCTCCAGGATGGGGTCGGAGTAGATTGGATCGGGGGATCGCACCGCATCGGCGATACATCGGCGATGCATCGGCGATGCATCGGCGATGCATCGGCGATGCACCGGCGATGCACCAGCGATGCATCGTCGACGTCGGCGATGCATCGGCGGCGTCGACGTGAAGCAGATCGGTCTGCACATCGAGCCGCATCGTCATGCATCGGCGATGCGGCGCGATCCTCCGACCCCATCTGTGGAAGAATAATAACTGCACAAACAAAAACTTTGTAACTCCACGCGGAGCGCCAAAAATGTATGCCTACGACGTCTTCTCTTCTTCAAACTGGGGAGGCCTAGAAATAGGGCGGGCATGTCCTCATACAGGCGGATCTTGAAAGAAAAATGCTCAAGCATGGTCAGAAGTCGTCGAAACATTGTCCCCATACTATGTTCTGACTATTCTTGAATGTTCATTCCTCCTGTAGACTGAGCAGGGACCGACCGTCCTGGCATTCCTGTAGGCCTATCACGACATATTCTCAGAACCCCAAGCTGCCCGAACACACAAAACCCGTGCTCATGCTCTTGGAACAAGACCCCGATGCGTCAGAACACGACCGCCCCAGCCAGCACCGTTCTGAGAGCACTTCGCGCAGGCCACAGTAAGAATCCCGAGAACAGTCTTCCGCGGGCCTGCCGGCAAGCCCGGACGCGCTTCGCCTCTGCTTGCGCAAAAGGGACCCGCCCGACGTGCGCCCGCCGCCCGGCCGGCCGGGCGCGCGCACCTGCCGCCCCGGCCGCGGCCGCCCGCGCCCGGCCCGGGCGCGGGGCCCGGCTCCGCCACGGCCTGCTGCTCCGGGGCGGCAGCCGAGTCGCCGGGGGGCGGGGCGGGCTCCTCGCGGCGCCGGGCGCGCTGGGCGGGGACGACGCAGCGTCGTCGTCGTCGTCGTCGTCGTCGTCGTCGTCGTCGTCGTCGTCGTCGTCGTCGTCCTGGGGTGCGCTTCGGCCAGAACGCCGAGGCTGATCCGGGCGCGGCGACGCGAACGCCACGGGCGGCCCCCGAGGACCCCCAAAAACAGCCACAAGAGCCTCGCTCCTCCACCCTCGCCGCTCGGGGGGGTCTGAGAGATGAGCGACGATCAAAAACGGGTCTTACGCGAGACGACGTATACGACCTGACGCAGTGGCTCGCGCGGGCCGCCAGCACGGCACGCCACACTGGAAGCGAGGGCGCTTGCGCGCGACCTCACGCGGGCAGCTGACGCGCCAATGTCGGCGCAGACGACCCCGTTGTTTTGCGCCGCTCAGATGGAGCGGCAGGGAGGGGAATGGCGGAGGACACCAAAA